TACTTAACCTGTGCTATATAAAAGAAAATAATACTAAAGATTTCTAAACTATGTTGGGCATGGAGATGGAATTTTCTGAGTTTTAACATATCAGTTAATAATGGGAATTCCCTAATGGTTTTGCAAGCTTTTATATTTTTCAGAATAGTGGATGAGTTTATTGAATAAAAAAACTGTGACAAGAAAATACACATCACTAAAAATGGTGGAATACTTTAATGCAAAATTCTCAAAATAAGATCTGTAATAGATATAAGACACATATAAGGCAAATATATGAAAAAGTGTTCACCGTCACTACCAGGGGAATGTAAGTTAAAATCACACTGAGTTAGCACATCACACCTATCAGAAAAACTATTGGTAAGAAAGATAAAAAGTAAATTTTGGAAAGGTGAGAGACAACAGGGAATCTTCTCAAACTGTGTGGTGGAATGCAGATTAGTTCAGCCATTTTGCTTTTTATTTTATTCTCTATATTTCTTTTTATTTCATTTAGATTTATAATGTTATATTTTGAATAGATCAGGTGTGAAAGGAATTGAGCACCATGTTGATGTAATAGGTGTTTTGTTTGCTTTATTTTGTTACTTAAAACGTTTTTAATGCATTTATTGACTGATTTTGTGGGGTGGAGGCTGTTTCCTAGGACATGTACATTGAGGTCAGAGAACAACTTACAGGAGTCCACTGCCTCCTTCGACCACGTGGGTCCCAGGGTTTGAGCTCAGGTGATGAGACATGGTGGCAAGTGCTTTATACTCTAAGACGTCTTGCCAGCCTTGTTTTAAAAATTTAAAACATTTCTTAGTAATATTATCTTTGGCGTTTATTCATTGAACACAATACTGGGTTTCAAAAAGGCATTTTCATTAAGTATGCACATTGAACAGATTTCCCCAGCATTCCCTTCTCCACTCCACTTTCTACATCTTATCCCCCTTGTTAGTCCCTTTGTTCCCTAGAAAATTTCACTTGTAGTTTCATTTCATCAATACATATATGTGCATAAAAGCTAGGATCCACAAATGAGAGAAATCCTTTTCTTTCTCAAACTGACTCCAGTTTGCTTCTGTTTTTCCTGCAATGATATGGTTTTATAGGTCTTTGTGGCCAAATGTATTCCATTTTCTTTTTCCGTTCCTCCATTGACAGACAAATAAGTCTGTTTTATAGGCATAAACGTGGGCTTATATTGGACCACTAGGGAGGAATTCCATGTTTTTGTGTTATGAAACAAGGATCTGAGCAGACATGCAAATTCACAACAGAAGATGCAGTTTATTAAGATGCACTGAATTAAAATATGTCCTGATCCCTTGCACACAGACTAGGTGCATTTTTCAGTTTCAGTGCCCATATCTACTCTTCCTAGCTAGGTATACACTCCCTAGGCTGTTCTCACCCCACCTTGCAAATAGGACCCCTCCTCATCTTCCTGCCTGAGACCTGTGTAATACCCCAGTAAGTCAGACCCTGCCCACTACAACTTGATTCCTCTGCACCTTGACCAACTCCATTCTCTTTCCCTAAGCTTCCTCCTTCCAGCCATGGGCATATGCTTACCTACTCCTTCTTTTCCCACCTCTGGACTAATCTCTTAACTTAGATAAGCCCCCTAATTTTGATCCCTTTGAACTTAGTCTAGATACATTCTCCATGTTCAGGGCTTATACCCCTAATCTTCCTACATAGTTAGATCCTCTCCATATTGTCCCCACCCCAGTCTTCAACCCCTTCCTGATCTTCATGCATGAGACTTCTGAAAGGGAGAGTAGAGAACAGATGTTACAGGGGCTGAGAGAGTGGGAGTGTTGGGCAGGGAGGAGAGGAAGGAGGGACATGCAAGGAGCCATGGAAAGTCGGTAGAGGGAGGATAGTGGGAGGCAGGTGTTACTGGAGGAGGGTGGGGATAATGGGACTAGGGAGGGAGGAAAGAAGCTAGATGGTAGAAAAAAAAGAGTAGAGGTGAATGAATCTTGGGGGACTAGGAAACCTAGAGGGAAATATGAAATCATTGAAACTTCATGAGAAATGCACACACAATGTCTGAACATTAGTGCCTATGTATACCTGGGAACTGCTTGGCAAGGAACACAGCAGCAGACAGAAGACACTTCCTTTTGAGGGGTTGGTGGGGGTTTAGGAGACTCCCAAAATAATACAACCTATTGCAGAACCTCTTGGTCCTAGAACTAGCAGATATGACCCTACTGCTGAAGACAGGACATATTTCAGATACAGAACTTGAAGCAATGGAGCAGAAACTGACCTGGAAGCTTTCTAATGGAAGTTTGGCTATCACAATGCTAGATGATGATATGAAAATTGCCAAGGGAGAAAAACAATCAACAGTCCAACCCACTCCTAAAGCCTAATAATCATAATGACCAGCATGCCAAAATACCTCTATTGGTGCAGTAGTGGCACTGTTATTTGGGGGACAATCAACAGCTACATAATTGGACTTAACATCCTCTCAATAGGAATGAAATCCTGGGTGGCACTGTAAATACATTCAAAACACATATCAGGAGAGGACATAGATTCTAGAGAAAACCCTACCTCTTTCATATCTCTAGAAATATGAAATTTCTTACTATATGCTAAATATTGATCCTTATATTTACAGACAAGCATACTATACAGCACTCATCAAAGAAGCTTCTTTTTACAACAGATGGAGGCTATTGTAGAATTGCACATCTGGTCAGATACAGAGAACATATGTCTGAGAGATGCCCAGTACTAGGTGACACATCTACAGCTGAACCTCTACAACTAAAGCTCATGGAACATAGCAGAAAAGGGGGTAGAGATAACTAGTGCATCCCTCAA